CGTATCAGGAACCTGAAGCCAGGGAGCTTCTCCAGACAAAAGCAAAACAATTTCCCTTACTCATCACTTAGATTTGTCACTAGGAAGGGAGTGGTATTAGAATGTGTGCGATGTTAGAGAGGGGAACAGCACACACTGGGGCCTGCTGGGGGGAAAGTGGGAGGGAGAGCATGGGGGTAAAGAGCTAATGTATGCAGGGCTTAATACCTAAGTGATGGGTTGACAGGTGCAACAAACCACCATGCCACACTTTTTCCTATATTAAAAAACCTGCAGATCCTGCACACGTATCTTTGAGCTTAAAATAAAAACTGAATTAAAAAAGAAATTGCCAGATTAGGCAAATCTAGAGAAACAGAAAGTAGATTACTGGCTGCCTACGGCCAGGGATGTGGGTTTGGGGAGAAAAGAGAAGTGACTCCTAAGGGGAATGAAAAGATTCTGTAATTAAATTGTAAAAATTGCTGCACAACCATGTAAATATGGTAAAAACACTGAATCACACACTGTACACGGGTGAATTGATTTGCATGTCAAACATGTGTCAATAAAGCTTTTTTTCTTTTATTTAAGAATACTCACGGTGGTGATTTGGGGCCATAGGGTTCTCCTGCAACAAGAGAAAAAAAAAACAAAACATGAGGATCAGCTCATCCTGGGTACTGTAGGCAAAGGGCTTTCATTCAGTTGGGGACATTAGAAAACCAAATGTCAAACCGTGATCAAGTAACCGGCCCCCAAATAAACTACAGAGGATACCTGTGGAAAAGGCAGTGGGTTTTCTCAGAATATTTAGCAAGTGTCCATGTCAGCTGAGAAATACAAAATTATTTTTTAAGAAGAAAAAGTTGCTACTGAGAAATATGCTTGCTATCAGACAGTTTGTCAGTGATGCTGTGTTTTGACTGACATCGTCAATCACTGTGTTATAGCGGATAATCAATGCTGCCATTTAAAAACCTCCCAGTGTATGACGTGTTAGTTGGGATGACACTCTCAAACTCTAGTGACGATGACTGGGATCCATGAGTAACAGAGGACTGATTCACAATGACAGTCAAAACTGATATTCACTTGATATTCTAGAAGCCCCAGAAAATGACATTTCTCATCAAGACAGAGAAATGCATCTTACTATGTCAAGTGATGTCTCCTCCTGAAGGCTTTAAGTGTACACTCCTCTGGGTGTTCAAAAGGAGCTAGCAGAACACAGAGAGACAGTCAGTGCACTGGCGCTGCTGAGGAATCTCACAAGGAGGCTTGGGGGATGTGGACCAAAGCTGCAGGGTATGCAGGTGGGCTGTTGACAAGCATGGACTGAGCTGCTGCTGGACCATTCTCCTTGGTGTTGAAGGAAGGCAAAGGAGAGGGCCAGAAAGAAATGAAAGAGCCTTGGCTTCCTAGGCAGGGCAATCTCATCAATGTGAAATCATCATTTGAAGAACCAGTTACTACAGAAAGGTAGTATACTAGAGAGACAGGAAGAAGATTAGGACTGCCTAGAACCAGGAGTGTGGGGATTGGAGAAAACAGAGGAGTGGCTACCAACAGGGTTTCTATGGGGGGGAATGAACAGGTTCTAAAATTGGATTGTTATTCATGGTTGCATCAGTGTGTAAATATAGGAAATTCACTGAATTACTCATTTTAAATGGGTGAATGGATTGCATGTTAAGTACATCTCATTATGATTTTTTTTTTCAAAAGAAGGGGTACATTACTGATTTTTAGCTGTAGAGTTTACCTGGAATAAGAGAAAGAGAAAGAGAAAAACAAAAAACCATGAGGATCAGCTCATCCCGGGTCCTGTTGGCACAGGTCTTTTATTCACTTGGTGACATTAGAAAACCAGATGTCAAACAGTGATCAAGTCACTGGCCCCCAAATAAGGTACAGAGGATGCCTGTGGAAAAGGCAGTGGGTTTTCTTGCTATATTTAGGAAGCTTCCCTGTCTGCTGAGAAATACAAAATTATTTTTCCAGAACAAAAGCTTGCTACTGAGAAATATGCTCGCTATCAGACAGTTTGTCAGTGATGCCCCGTGTTCACTGACATTGTCAATCAATGTGTTACAGCAGATAATGGATGCTGTCATTTAAAAACCTCTCAGTGTATTACATATCGGTTGGGAAGACATTTCCAAACTTTAGGGACCGGTCGCTAGAGTCCATGAACAAATGAGGCCTGATTCATGATGTCAGTTAAAACTGATGTTCACTTAATACTCTAGAAGCCTTTGGAAAAAAAACATTTTTCTTCCAGGCAAAGAAATGCAGCTTACTGTGTTTGATGACATCTCTTCCTTCAGTTTCTCACATACACACATCCCCAGGTCTTGAACCAGAGCTAGGAGAACAGAGAGTGACAGTGCATTGGTGCTGCTAAGGAATCCCACAAGGAGGCTTGGGCCATGTGGAAAGGTCTGGAGAGTATGGAGCTGGGTGGTTGAGAAGCATAGTGGTTGACAGGCTTCTAGAATATCAAGTGAAGAGTAGTTTTGACTGAGCTATTGCTGGACCATTCTCCTTGGTGTTGAAGAAAGGCAAAGGGAGGGGCAGAAAGAAATTCAACAACCTTGGCTTTTCTAGCGAGGGCCACCTCATCAATGTGAAATAGTTAGCTTAAGAACTGGTTAACACAGAAAGTCAGTGTACTACAGAAACAGGAAGTGGATTAGGGCTGCCTAGAACCAGGGGTGTAGGGGTCGGGGAAAACAGAGGAGTGACTACTGAAAGAGTTTCTTTGAGGGAGGATGAAGAGGTTCTAAAATTAGAGTGTAAAAATGCTTGCAGTACCCTGTAAATACAGTAAAACATTGAGCATTGCATCACCCACTTTAAATGGGTGAACTTGTTTGCATGTCAACTGCATCTCAATAAAGCTGTTTTTTAAAAAAAAGAATACATACATTGCTCTTGTTCAGGAAGAGTATTTTCCTGCAATAAGAGAATAAAAAGAAAAAAAAAAGCAATGAGCATGATATCATGCTGGGTCCTGATTCCAGAAGACTTTTATTCATTTGGTGGCATTGGAAACCAGATGTCAAACAGTGATCATGTCACTGGCCCCCAAATAAGGTACAGAGGATGCCTGTGGAAAAGGCAGTAGGTTTTCTTGGAATATTTAGCAAGTGTCCATGTCAGCTGAGAAATACAAAATTATTTTTAAGAAGAAAAAGTTGCTACTGAGAAATATGCTTGCTGTCAGACAGTTTGTCAGTGATGCCGTGTTTTGACTGATATCGTCAATCAATGTGTTACAGCAGATAATCAAGGCTGTCATTTAAAAAGCTCCCAGTGTATTAGTTGGGATGACACTCCCAAACTCCAGCGATGGCCACTGGGGTCCATGAGCAACAGAGGCCTGATTCACAATGGCAGTCAAAACTGATATTCACTTGATATTCTAGAAGCCCCAAACAAAAAACATTTCTCTTCAAGACGAAGACATGCATCTTACCAGGTCAAAGGGCATCGCCTCCTCTTTCAGATCTTTTATTTTCAGATCCTGTAGGACCTCAACAGGACCTAAGAGAACACAAAGTGACAGTCAGTGCATTGGTGCTGCTCAGGAATTTCACAAGGAGCTTTGGGGAATGTGGACGGGGGCTGGAGTGTGTGGAGCTGTGTGGTTGACAAGCATGGACTGAGCTGCTTCTCGACCATTCTCCTTGGTGCTGAAGGAAGGCAAAGGAGAGGGGCAGAAAGAAAGTAAAGATCCTTGGCTTTGTAGCTATGACTACTTTATTATTGTGAAATAGTCACCTTAAGACTGGTTAGTACACAAAGGCACTGTACTATAGAAGCAGAAAGAATATTGGGAGAAACTTAACTTCTGCATTGTTAGGAAAATAGTTTTAGGCCAGGTGCAGTGGCTCACAGCTGTAATCCCAGCAGTTTGGGAGGCTGAGGTGGATGGATCACATGGTCAGGTGTTTGAGGCCAGTCTTGCCAACATAGTGAAACCCAGTCTCTACTAACAATACAATAATTATCTGGTCGTGATGGTGTGTACCTGTAGTCCCAGCTACTGGAGAGGCTAAACTGGAGAATCACCTGAACCCAGGAGGCGGAGGTTACAGGAAACCAAGATCGTGCCATTGCACTCCAGCCTCAGTGACAGAGTGAGACTCTTTATCAAAAAATAAAAATCAGGTCAAGTCATTAGAAAGAGTGACTCACCCAGTCCTCCTCCTCCAGCTGAAGCCATGCTGCCTCACACGTTTCCCTTGTCTTTTCTCTGGGTTGACAAACCTTCCTACAGCCTCTCTGGCCAGAGTTCTATATTATTAAAGTAATTTTCTCTCAGGAGACCCCCAATCTTCCTTCCCAAAAGGCTACCAGAATCAGGCTTCCATATACTCAAGCAGCAAGCTGGCCCCTCAAGAAGTGAGTTACTTCATGGTGCTTATTGTGTATTCTCTCCAGTGATGTTATCTGCAATTATACAAAAGAAAACATTATGAGGATGACATCCTGCTGTGCGCTTCACATAGATCTGTTATTCCCTTGGCAACGTTAGAAAACCAGAAGCGGTACAGTGGCTGAGCCATAGGTCAACATCCCCAAAACTATGAGAATGTTTATGGGAAAATAAGAAGTGACACTGTTGAATAACCCAGAGCAACAACTTTGGGACCCATTTTTGGGTTTGTTTGCCTCTTTCATTCAGGAGGTCAAAATCTGGACTCATTCTTTTCTGTGCCCTTTCCATCCCATAATAACAAAGTAGGATATTAAACTGGCCTTCAGGTACAGCTGTGGGGAAAGAGGAAAGAGGTGATTCATGTCAAGTGTAGGTTGTTGTGGGATTTTCCCTTCCCTTTCATTAGATAAATGACATGACTCAGGAGGCTAAGATGAGAGGATCACTATAGGCCAGGAATTCAAAAAAAGTGACACTTGTACTGGCTGTGCATGTGGGTCCACATTTTGAGAGGAAAACATGCACATTGACAGACACGTTCACAATCACTATGTATTAACTCACTACTACTTACCTCCCGACCCTCCTGCACAAAACCGTACACCACCTAAGAGATATGGCTGCTTCCGGGGACCTTAGTGGATGATCACAGTTCTTCATGGAGCCATATGTTTCTCACACCACACCCCAGATCCTCACACCTATCAGAAACCTGAAGCCAGGGAGGTTCTCCAGACAAAAGCAAAACGATTTCCCTTACTCATCACTTAGATTTGTCACTAGGAAGGGAGTGGTATTAAAATGTGCACAATGTTAGAGAGGGGAACAACACACACTGGGGCCTGCTGGGGAGGAAGCAGGGGAGGCAGAGCATCATAATAAAGACCTAATGTATGCGGGGCTTAATACCTAGGTGATGGGTTGACAGGTGAAGCAACCCATGCCACATTTACCAATGTAACAAACCTGCACGTGCATCCTGGAAATTAAAATAAAATTTAAATTAAAATAAAAATTGCCAGAATAGGCAAATCTAGAGGAACAGAAAGTAGATTAGTGGCTGTCTAGGGCCAGGAGTATGGGGGTTGGGGAAAAAAGAGAAGTGACTACTAATGGCTATGGGGTTTCTTTGAGGGCAAACGACCAAAACGTCTTTATGCCACATATGACTGTACTTAATAACAGCTGCTTAAGTTATTAAAATGAAAAGGATAACTGATACACATTTGGATCTTTGATACTATGCGGTCACTTCTCTATGTTGCCTCCTTGAAGCATCACAATCACTTTGAGGCATTATTAGTTTGGTCCTATTGACACCAAAGGCTAATCTATAAACTAACATGCTACACTGCCTGTAGTGACGAAGTAGACTTGCTGTGAAGTGATGTTTGCTTCCAAAGCTGGGTGTATGAGTTTAGTGAGGTTGGTGTTACCCATTGCTTTATGGGTTTGAGATTGGTCTTGCAGAAACCCAGATGGAGAAGCTCTTGGTTGAGGGAGTGAAAAATTACTGAAAGGATAGATGAGTGCATTTGAAGGATCATGCTTCCATACAGCATGTTGTTGAGCCTCTTGGAATAAGAACAGATACAATCAAACCGAGTCACCTAGTCCTCAGTTGTACCATTCAGTAAGCATCAGCACGCCATGAAGTGTGCTCACTGCTGTGTTGTGGGGACACAAAATATATCTCAGGCACAGCCCCCAAAAACGGATCACTCTAAACTGTACTGGGAAGCAGTGACTAATTTTAGTGTCACAACTATCAAGTATAAAACACAGTATGCCATTGTGTTTAATTGTGCACGAGTGCTAAATATTAACATTTAAAAAACTGCCAAGTCCACCTTCAAAGTTGATAATGGCATCCAAATAAAATAAACTTTAGGAGGGTGGAATATATGTTTAATGTTAGCAATTAGACCTCTTAATAATTACATATTCTTTGCTTAGAAATTTAGTTTAAAATTTGGGTATTTGAGTTAGTTTTTTTTTTAATAAGCAAACTCTTATAAAGTAATGAAATCGTTATTTTCTTTTAAAAATATACTACATCTTACACACCAAAGTGAATGTTGATCTTCAAAGTGGTCACCGTGGGAACCCATCCATGCACATACAATTTTATTTTTTTAGTTGTAATTTTCAGTCAACAAAAGGCTTCCCAATGACGTACTGGCCACCTTCAGTTTCTCACTTCCACTCCCCAGAGACAACCAGTATTACACATTTTTGTGTATATCCTTCCAAAGATATTCTTCCCACATATAAAGTTTTAAAAATGTAAGATATGTATGCATTTAATAGAATCGTAACATAAAGTTTTACAGCCTGTTTTTTTCCACCATCGGTACCATATTACAGACAGATTTCTATGTCAGTGAGTAGAAATTAATTACATCTTTTTTCGTTTTGTTTTTGTAATGTTTTAACAAAAAGTGCACAAGTCGCAGTGCAAAGACAGATGAAATATCACTAAGTGAACACACGCTGGTAACCAGTATTTATCTGTTCGTTTTCTTCCTTTCCAAACTTTCTTCCTTGTTTCTTTTTCTTGCCTTGTTACACTCACTGGCAGGATCTTTACTGCAGCTTTGAGTTGTAGTGGAGGTATCAGGCCTTCTTCTCCCATCCCCAGTCTTAGCGGGAAGGCTTTGGGTATTTCACCATTAAATAAAATATTTGACACCAGTTTATTGCAGCTACCCTTGGTCAGAGTAATAAAGTTTCCTTCTAGTCTTAGTTTGCTAAGATTGTTTATCATGGATTTTTTTTAATTGTATCAAGTTTTTTTTTCTTCATCGACTGAGAGAATTATACTGTTTTTCTCCTTTTCTCTGTTGATGTGGAATTATACTGACTTGGTTTTGAAGACTAATTCCATCTTGTATCCTTTGTCGATACACCACAAATTATTCTCCAAAGTGACTATGGTAACTTACGTTCTCAGCAATGTATGAAAATATATGTTTCCTAACCACCCCAGCAAACACTTGATGTTTTTAGACTTTAAAAAAAGGTTCCAATTTAATAGGTTAAAATTAGATACAGTCAATAAAACTGGGTCTTACTTTGTAAAAAATATGTTTTTAGACAATGATAGAAAATAAGAATGAAAATAGTTCATGTGTTCTATGTGGGACCATGGGAGAAACTGCTTTTAAATAGGATTTCTTATGAAGTTTTAAAAATGGAAGGGAAACCTGATGGCAGAGAGCAGCCAGACCCGCAGTCACCTGTGGATGCACAGACTGTGGCAGAGCCTGGAATGCACCAAGGACCAAAAGTCCCCACAGGCAGTCAGTTCAGTGACAGCATCGCTAATTACCTGATCAGCATCCCAGTAGCACATGGAGAGGACAGGGAGGCCCAAGATAAGTGCAGGCCAGGGGAGGTCTCCAGTGATGGGGTGTGGCTTGGTCCAGTTTCCTCTCCCAGTCTTGGTACCAGGGGAGGTCTCCAGTGATGGGATGTGGCTTGGACCAGTTTCCTCTCCCAGTCTTACTTGGTACCGCAGAGAGATACTTACGCAGCCACCGCTGGTGTCCTTCCACTTCCCTCAAGGCTTAAAAGCGCCATGATGTTTATCAGTCTTTTAAAGAGCACCATACACGTGACCGAGGAACCAAGACTACAAAGAAGTGCCTCGTTTCCTGGGAATGTTTCAGGTTGGGGAATTGGTGAGGATCCACTGGCGGGAAATGCTCATGGCTGAAGAAAGATGAGGCCTGATGCCTGGCAGTTGGGTTCAGCCACACGGAGACCACGTTGTGCCCCACATAAGCAATCTGGTGGAGAGGTGCCAGGAAAGGGAGAAGGCCGGAGTCACAGAACCTGTGCGGGGATTTGGAGCCAGAGGGCTCCTCAGAATGCATGCAGAGATGGTCTGTGAGGACCTGTCTGACTTCAGTGAGGGTTTCAGTGGCAGAGAGTGAGGAAAGCAGCCCTGCTCAGGAGGACACCAGGGTGGAGAAACAGGTCTCAGGGAGGGCTAGGTCTCAGTCCAAATAGCAAGGGAGAGAATGTTCCAGGGAGAGGCTGCCCTGGGGTCTCCTGAGGGCTCAGAGGAAAGGTTTCAGCAGGTGGGGTCAGAAAGGCAGTGTTCAGAGCTGTGGGGAGAGGGTGACCTAAGCTTCTTACAGCCCCTGATGCAAACAGTGATAAAGGGCATAATGAGGCCAGTCCAGAGTCTGAGGCAGAGAGTGGTGAGCAGGCTGTAAGTTTGGGGGAGGGAGGGAGAAAAGGGCCTGGCTTAAGAAGGCAGGGTCCTGGGCTCTCTACAGTCCAGCCAGGGAAGGACGGAGCCCGGAGGGGCCCAGACCTCCCTTATGACACCTGCACAAAGAAGCGTCTATCTGGCCAGGCGGTGTTCTGTAGACTGCTGTGGGGTGGGGGAGTGGCTTCTCCTGGGCACAGGACCCCAGGCACCTGCAGAATGCAGGGTTCCAGGCTCCCTCGGTTGCCCACTGATGGCTCTCCTCTGAGGGACTGTAAACTGGCTCACTGGGTACCCACAATGTGTAAGGCGCTTGTTCTCAGTATAATGCACCAGGCACTGCCAGACTCACCCATTTATGATAGGCACAATTACTATCCCCATTTTAGAGCTAGGGAAACGGAGGCACTGAGCAGTTAATCAACTTGCCCAGGCTCTAAGGACAGTCAGTGTAGAGCTTGGGTCTCAACACAAGCAGGCTCCCTCACAGTGTGAGCTCCTAGCTACTGGCTGTCCCACTGCCCTTGTCCAGACTTGGCTGTCCAGAGTGGCAGTTGTGCCTTTGGGCTGTAGTTGAATGACCAGTTGCCTCTTCCAGATTGGCTCCCACCCCTCTCCTGGCAGCAGCCTCTCAGGTCCCAGAAGCTGATAATTGTGTGATAAATGGGACTCTGCAAATGGTGGTAAGGGTGTGGATGCAAAGGGTTTGTCTCCTCCTCATCCAGGGGAAAATCATTTCCAGGAGCTGACCAGCGTGCTGACCCAAGAGGAGCAGGCCCCAAGGGTCAGGTCCTCGTGTGCTACAGGGACAACTCGGTAATGTCCAAACCCCGTGGTTAGGTGTTTTCTTTAGCTTGGCCTAGAGAAATGATGGTGACTTTCCTGTGCTTCCCTGGCGTCTGGTGGGGATGCCGGTTCTGCAGGGAAGGCAGTGCCCACCCAGACTGGCATGTGGGGCTCCGTAAAGCTGGGGTGTCAACAGCTTCTGGCTGTCACTGCCTGAACACTGTTCCCCTGGGCCCTGCCTACTGTCCCGTTACCCACGAGTCCTGATGCCCCCACACTTGAAAGGCAGAGGCTCAGCGTCTTCTCCCTGAGCTACGGGGCCTGGCGGTGCTCTCCCGGGCAAACCTGCCCACAGACCCTCAGGTGCAGTGGCCTCGAGGACTGTAAGCTTGCTGCCCAAGCATCCGGGTGGCCACTCAGTGGGCTCAGGGTCCCCTCCTTCCTCACCTCTTCTGCCTGCCTCAGCCCCCACCTGCTCGCCAGGTTCACCCTGCCTGTAGCAATGTGGGACAGCCCTATCACTCCCCTGGACTGGGAGGCACACCCCGCAGCTGCCTCCGCAAGGTTCTCCTGCTCATGGTTCAAGGCTGCCTCCCCCAGGTCTCCCAACTCAGGAACCATTTCCTCCATCCACTGACAGGCAAACATCACCTCTGAGTCTCAACTCTCACTTCTCTTCCCCCCCCCCCCCCCCCCCCCCCCCCCCCCCCCGCAGCCAGGCCCCCCAGTCCTGTCCCTCCCTGTTTTCCATCTCCCCTGCAGGAGGGAATCCAGCTAACACCTCTCCCACCTGAATCCCCCATCTCGACTGCTCCCACCGGCTCCCATGCATCCCAGCCTGCTTTCTTCCTTGTGCCAAGAATGCCCCGTGAATCTGAGCCTGCCTGTGGCACCCACACCCACCACTCCCTCCCCTCCCTGAGCCCACTGCTGGACCCATCTCAGGCCCTGTGGAGCTGCTGGGTGTCCTGAGTCCCCTGAGGTGACCAGGCCACCGCCCTAAAGGCACATCTTGCTGTCTGCTGTCTCCATGCCAGGAATGGTGCACCCAGCACGTCCTCAGTGAGTTCCCCCTTCCTGGGACCCCCTCCAGGCTCTTTCCACACCTGTGTCCCCACTGTGCCTCGGCCAGCCTTGGGCACTGGCGCCCCTTCCTGGGACAGCTGTCACACTTCTTGCTGCAGGTGATGAAACGCCCTCTCTTGTAAGACTGAGTCAGCCGGCCCTGAAGTGGGAGCACCCCCACCCCACCCCCCAGGCACCTCCACTGCCAGCATCTCGCTCTCAGGCTGTTCCCTGTTCCCCAAGTGTCTCCTCAGCAGGTGTCTACCCAAGTCTGTGTGCCGCCACCAGCTCCCGATGGCTCAGAGCAGCCTGGGTGGGTGGGGTGGGTAGCCCAGAATGGGCTTGAGCACTGCCCTAGATTCTAACAGCCTCCTTGGAGGTCACAGGTGGGTTGGAGGTGGGCTCACCCTGCCTTGAGCTTCCAGCAAATACTTCCCAGAGCAGTTTGGCAGGGTCAGACCAGGTCTCCCAGCCTCCTTTCACCAGCTCCACCAGGGGCCCCCAGGCCCTCCAACCCCTCACCTGTCCCTGTCCATGTGCTGAGAGCATCAGGCCATATCTACCTGAGGAGAAACCAGGGCCTTATCTGCCACAGTGTAGGGGCCTAGGAGGAGGCGGGAGCTTACCTAACAGGAGAGGCCACATTCCTTAATCCTGGGGATGGCCAGGCTCTGGAAGGTGCCCCAGGTCAGGCGGAGGAACGCAAGTACTTGCCCAGCCAGCATCTGGCTGTGCATTGACAGCTCTCACTGGAGACTGTGGACGTGAGTGGGGCAAGTTTGCAGGGTGCCCTGTGGCAGCGGCTCCTGGCCGACCCTGCAGCTCCAGCCCCAAAGAAGAACAGAGGAGAGAATGCCGCTCCTCACAGCAGGAGCAAGCGGACACGCTCCCTCCTGGAAAAACAGGGCTCCCTTTACGGACAGCAGCCCAGAGACTTTCCATCACCCGGGGCCGTGAGACTGTGGCCAGACACTTGTGGAGTTTCTAGGTTTCCAAAGAAAGCATTCAGAAACCTTGAGGTCTTTGGAGTCTCAGAACACCCTAATGGGGTTCCCCACAGGGCGGCCACTGGAGCAGAAATAGCTCCAGGCCAGCGGGATCAAGGCATCGCCTGTGTGCACCCCCTTCAGGCATTCGTGAGGCCGGGACAGTAGACAAGGGCCCTGGAAAGCTGGCTGGGCTGGCAAAGGGGGGCAGAATCTGTCTTGGACACTGGTACCCCAGGGCCCCTGGCTTCAGCCCCGGCCTCTAAGGGAGAGCCTTCTCCTGGGACCTAAGACTCCACCCCAAGTCTTCAGCCCTCGCCTCCCCGCCAGATTCAAGAGGCCACGCCCCCCACCCCGCTCAGTCCTCACTGTGAGGTCCCCCACTCCAGAGGGTAGCCCCCAAGGCTGGGAACTCTGGGACTTGGCTTCTGCTCGGGCAGCTGTTCTGAGTCCTCTTCTCATCTGCACTTCTGCCGGCTGGTCCCGCGCTCCCGTTTCTGGACGCCGCCGCTTTGGCCATCTGGTCCCGCGCCGCCGCTTCTGGCCGCCGCAGCCTCTGCCAGCTGGGATCGCGCCGCCGCTCCTGGCCGCCACCGCTCCTGGCCGCGGTCGCTTCTGCTGGCTAGTCCTGCGCCGCCGCTTCTGGACGCCGCCGCCTCTGGCGTCTGGTACCGCGCCGCAGCTTATATGGAGCTGCCCTGACATCTAGTGGCCAAAGATTAGGGAAGCTATTCATAAAGCATGCAGGATTTCTAATTCAGAAGCATATCGAAAAATCTCACATAGCAAATGAAATTGTAGGTAAATACAGTGCTTCAAAGTTTACAATTCACTATTACATAAATTGTTGGTTTATGAACTTGAATGCAATTTCCTTCCTACATTACTTAGATATTTTAAAATATTTATCGTAATAAATTTACACCAAAGCCATGGTTTATTCTGAGTATGTGAATGCAACACAGCATTTGATTCTTTGTGTTTTATTTCCGTAAGAGTAACAACAATTAGATGTCAATGATTAAATAAACTTTGCATTTTAAATGACAGTCTAAGTAAATAAGTAATAACTTTATGTTATCTCAAATTAAAGTGAAACAATTGACATACAAGTCAATTCTCTGTACCTTTTTGCTGAGTTAATGGGATTTTTTTCTAAATTGAAGAAATATTTAATGCTGTTAAGGGAAGAAATGGAAGATCCGAAGTCAATTTTTAAAACAAAATAACAAAATGAATGGCTTATAGTCGTTTTCAGTAGATTTTTTAAAATCACAAAGGTCTTTTCTCTAGTAAATTTTCTGTGGTTTAAGCTAAAATAAAAAGTTCATGGAAACCACAATATACAAATGATCAGAACTAATTTTTAACACTTATTCTAATGAAACTTTTAGGTCTAAGAAACACCAAAATAACAGCCCAAGACAAAGACTGATGCATCCATGGTTTACTAAAGCTATAATTGTAGAAGCAGGAGCGGGGACAGGAAGGGGCAGGAGAGACACGAGTGGATACAGAAGGAGGGGCGGCCAATGCAAGGATGCAGTCTGGAACTGGCCACTCCTGGGTGCAACTGGTTCCTGGATCCACAGGACCTTCTGAGAAAACTGATGGACTGTACTGTGTCTCCAAATTCCTCCCTGGAAGGGTGCAAGGGTGGAGCATTTCCTGTTCATTTTTATGCCATATTTGTCAAGGTCTGCCCCATGGGTCATAAACTCTCCCATACATGCAGGCTGTCCAAGAATCCAAGGCTGCTGGTGTCAGAGAAGCTTTATATGGACTGAGGCAGGCACTTCCAGTTGTACCTACACAAAACAGATCAAAATCTGTGCATGGGCTGGGCACAGTGGCTCATGCCTATGAGTCCAGCACTTTGGGAGGTAAAGGCGGGCAAATGACCTGAGGTGCAGAGTTCAAGACCAGCCTGGCCAACATGGTGAAACCCCATCTCTACTAAAAATACAAACATTAGCTGGGCATGGTGGCGTGTGCCTGTAATCTCAGCTGCTTAGGAAACTGAGGCAGGAGAATTGCTTGAACGCAGAAGGCAGAGGTTGCGGTGAGCCGAGATCACACTGCTGCACTCCAGCCTGGGCAACAAAGGGAGACTCTCTCTCAAAAAAAAAAAATCTGTTCATACCTGTTCCCTGCAGCAATGGCCAAAATGAAAGGTGTGGCCAAATGGATCTGCAGTACTACACAAGAAATATTCAGTACGTGCACATACCATTGTACTATCTGTGTTACATTAATAACAAAATAGGTCATACCATGTTTATTGGTATGGATTCTTTTATATTTGATAAACATGACTAAGTATGTTGATTAAATAATATAATTATCACTCTGGCCAATGCACAGCAGAAGTCAAAATTCCAAAGGGATCTTGAAGCAGCAGTAAAATCCATTCATCTTGATCAGTAATTATTTTAGTGGTGTTAGCCTAAATAGTGCTCACAGTATGAACTGTTATGTGGAAATATTTTAATCTTGTGAAAAGGCAACATTTAAAATCAATTGTCTAGATATGAAATCCTGATACAATGGGAATAACTTGGCTTCTGAGAAGAAAATCTGTTAAGCTTTCATAGAAGCCCCAAGAGCAGATGTTTTACAGAAAGAAGAGAAACAGAAAAGAAAATGAGTGGGAAATGGAAGAAAACTAAAATCCTACCTCATATCATAAATTTCCAAAAGTTAAATTTAGATTTTGTCTGTCAAAGGGAAGTTGGAAGTTCTACTTTTAATTTTGTATGTCCTTGTAGTACTCAAACTGATCACTTTGTCATCGTCAAATAGTAAAGCTTTTGTGGATCCTTCGTGACTGCTATTAAATCCAATCCAGATGAGTCAAAGACTTAAATGTGAGAAATAAAATCATTATCTCTCTTGAAGACAACATAGGTGAATTTTTAAATAATCTTTAGGATGAGAAAGGCTTTTTTACAGCCAGAAACACTAAAAGATGAGTATATTTTTACTCAAATGGTAAAACTTTATATAGTACAAAGAAATGCCAAACAAAAAAGCCAAAATACTTGCAGCATGCAGGACAGATAAGTAGTTAATATCTGTATTTTTAAAAAGCTCACTATCAAATCACTAAATAAATGATAGAACATCATAACAGAGTAGATCAAGGAACTTGAATCTACAAACGAAGAAAGCAAAACAAATAACATTAAAATATGCCAATAGCTAACATTTACTGAGAATGAGTTTACCAGGAAATGTTGTAAGAGCTTTATGCGCATTGATTAAATTGATTGTACCAATTCTATGAGGTCAGTATTATTACCACTTTGCAGATGACTAATATGAGACATAGAGAGATTAAATAATTAGAACAAGGTCGAAAAGCTGGTAACTGATAAAGCCAGAATATAAACTCAAATGGTCACACTGCACAGCTCGGGCTCCTAATCAAATGCATACATTCATTATTAATCCAAAACTCAAATGCAAACAATAATTTGCTACTTTCCATGTAGCCAATTGATAAAGATCTTAAAGATCAGTGCTATGTGGAAACTCATAAATTGTTAATAAGAGTGTCAATTGATACAATCTTTTTGGAGGTCAGTGTAATGATATGCATCAATATTAAATGCCTTCTTTTTTTTTTTTTTTTAGACAGAGTCTCATTCTGTCACCTAGGCTGGAGTGCTGCGCACTATCTCAGCTCACTGCAACCTCCACCTCCCTGGTTCACACAATTCTCCTGTCTCAGCCTCCCAAGTAGTTGGGATTACAGGCATCCGACACGATGCCCAGCTAGTTTTTTTATTTTTAGTAGAGACGAGGTTTCTCTATGCTGGTGAGGCTGATCTTGAACTCCTGCCCTCAGGCAATCTGCCTGCCTCGGCCTCCCTAAGTGCTGGGATTACAAGTGTGAGCCACCACGCCTGGCCTAAATGCCTTCTTTTTAACCCAGACACCCTTCCTTCAATAGATCCCAAGTAGATCCCAAGGAGATAAAGAATCAAACATACAAAAGTATAGGAACAAAAATGTCCTCAAAGCATGATTAATAATAGGAGTGGGAAAGAAATGAAAATAAGGATGGTGTTCATCAGTGAAATAGTGGTTAAATAAAGTATGTCTATACCATGAACAAACAGATAGACTTTAAAATGGTATTTACAAGCTATATATCTCATATTACATATTTACAAGCTATATATCTCATAAGGGATTAATCTGCAAAATATACAAGGAACTCCTACAACTCAATAGTAAAAACTCAAAACCCAACTTAAAAGTGGGCTAAGGACTTGAAAAGAAATTTCTCCAAAGAAGATATACAAATGACCAACAGGCATATGAAAAAATGCTCAACATCACTAGTCATCAGGGAAATGCAAATCCAAATCACAATGAAACATCACCTCATACCTGTCAGGTTGGCTATTTTTTTTAAAGAAAGTATTCACAAAGATATGGGGAGACATAAAACCTACCACACTATTGGTGGACATACAGATGGTGGGACCACTATAGAAAATAGCAGAGGATCCTCAAAATAAATAAGTAAATAAAACTACCATATGAACCAGCAATACAATTTCTAAGTATTCATAGAAAAACTGAAATCAGGATCTTGATGATGTTGGCACTCCTATGTTCACTGCAGCACCGTTCACAATAGCCGAGATGTGGAAACAACCTAAATGCCCATTGACAGGGCAGTGTATAAAGCAAATGTACAAGCAAAGCAATAGTATCCAGCCCATTAAAAAAGAAACAAATTCTGCAATACATGACAACATGGATGAACTTTGAAGACATTGTGCTAACTGGCATAAACCAGACACAGACAGACAACTACTGCATGATTCCACCTGCGTGAGGTATCTGAAATTCAGAGAATCAAAGAGTGCAATAGTGTTCGCCAAGGACTGAAGAAGGGGGATACTGGAAATACTAATCAAGGGACATAAAGTTTCAGTCAAGCACAATGCATAAGCTCTAGAGAGATGCTGTACAACATTGTACCCATAATCAACAATTATGCATTACACTTAAAAATGTGTCCAAGAGGTAGACCTCATATTAAATATTCTTAGGTGTTCATTGACATAGAGAGGTCTGAAGATCACTGAGGATAAATTATAATTATAAAGAGAATATGTACAATGCTTTTAAACTGTTTGCTGCCATAAATCATAAGAAATTTTCCACAGTCCACAATTAAAGTGGATCGCTGAGTCATTGATTTTTGAGTGGGTAGATGGGCATCATGGTCCCAGTTGAAAATCATTTATATATAGTATGAGGATAAACACACATAGATAAAGATATTATATACATTACATATGCTTACATATATAATTGCATATATTTAAGTCTGCAAAAAATATACACCTGAATGGATCTTCACAAAAACATTTACAATCAACATTTGCCTGAATAATAGTATTGAGAGCTATTGTTGTTTTCCTTTTCATATTTTCTATCTTCCTTCCATTTTCAATACAATTGTATATTACCTATCAAATCTGAAAACAGATTATAACTATTTCTCATCTGAAAAATTAATGCTTTGATATGCTATTCCTAAGTTGAGCAAGACAATTTTTCTCTGTTCCCCACAATTGTCTAAGTTTGTAAACACCTTATGACAAGATTTCTCTTATTTCATCTGCTAGCTGACTGCCACATGTGTAGACTTTCAAACAGGGACCAATATATGTAAAATGAATGCTTCCTTTATAAATCACACCCTTAAATATTAAGCCTAAATAGTGAACATATGGAAGGAAGAAATGCTGACCTTCTTTGTGACTTTCCAACAGCCAACTTCCTCCTCCCATAAGAGGGAACTCCTCACATTCCTTAAGGCTTTGGCAGATCCCTGTTCCCTGGGGGAGAAGCAGAGCACACCAAACTTCAGGAGCCGATGCCTCCCTTATACATTAAGAAGTCAATAACTCACTTATAGTTGGATTAGATCATTGATTCCAACATGATCTTAAAAAGAGTGTTTAATGGCAGCTCCTGTTAAATCTCTTAGTATAATACATTCTTAGGACATATCTTCCCAAGAGAGCAGCAGGATACATTCAACTTTAAAAAGCTAAATCAACCTGTTCTTGTCAGTAGCTCAGCAAAGCGGGTACCAATAAAAAGCCTATGTTGCAAAATGGGAAATCCTGTAGCCTGAGCCACCCACCCACTTCTACAGGACCTCGTAGATGCTACTAAGTTCCCGATGTGGGACTAGGAATCAGGAATCCTGTACCATACAAAAACAGACCATACTACAGTAAACTCAAAACCCAGACCAGAAAAGAAGATTGTTCTTAAAGGTCATAATGTATTTATTTTGTGGAAATACGTATATCACACACAAAAAATAAAAATGGTAAGTACATTTAGAAGCAAAATACTCCTAAAATTAAGGATAGCTCTCCTTTATAGGAAGTGATGCATAATTCAATAAGTTTCAATAAGAATACAAATGTTAATAATATTAGGAAATACTTGTCCTCATTTACACAAGGGTTGTTGCAATAAAGTAACCATTTGTGGCCGAGTGTGATGGTTCACGCCTGTAATCTCAGCACTTTGGGAGGCCAAGAAGGGCGGATCACAAGGTCAGGAGATCAAGACCATCCTGGCCAACATGGTGAAACCCCGTCTCTACTAAAAATACAAAAAATTAGCTGGACATTGTGGTGCATGCCTGTAAGCCCAGCTACTTGGGAGGCTGAGGCAGGAGAATCATTTGAACCTGGGAGGTGGAGGTTGTAGTGAGCCAAGATCGTGCCACTGCACTCCAGCTTGGTGACAGAGTGAGACTCCGTCTCAAAAATAAAATAAAATTTTAAAATAAACTGTTTGTTAAACACTCTTTATACACATAAAAAATAATTTCATCTTTAAAACAAATGTTCTAGAAAGATGTATTACTGAAGAGACCTAACTCTAAATCCAGGTCAGAATTTAGGGTACAATTTCA